AACCGACCAGTTATGTGTCGCTCATTGGCCGATGAGGCACTGACTGCTCATTAGCAGAACATGCACTGGCTGATTATTGACAGATCAGGCATTAGTTGTTCATCAGCAGGGTTACATCAAGATAGACATATTGACCGTCGGGATCTTCGAACAACTGTTGACGCCCTACTATTTGGTCGCTTCAATGCGGCTGAACAGCGAAAGTGGTTTCTACTCTAGAGCTTGAATCGGATGGCATAGTGTCCTCGAACCACTTCTAGTGTTTGCAGTACAGAGATACGGGAATAGGAGGGAGTATAATTATTATTGTTATTATTACTTTATTATTATTATTATTTTTTTTATTATTATCATCATTATCGGTCCGATTGCAAAAGATCTCAGAACTCAGTCTCCAAGTGGGAATTTGATAGGCAAGTTTGAATCCCACTCCCTGTCGATCGCTGAGGACCTCCGAAGCGGGCACAGCGGGTGACAGACGTTGTTGCCCTTGGCTTCAGAGAGCGGCAGGCGTCCACCTCCCCGGGTTTCCTCACAACGTGTCGGCGATCGAGGGGCGCTTGGAAGTTGATGCGGCCGTTTTGTTTCTCTATAGTCGTGTAGTGTGCCACGTCGCCCGTCGACTGGCATGTTTGTGGCAGTCGATCACTGATGTGGTTGTTTTTGTTTTTGTTTTCTTGCGGATGTGTCCAGTGCATGCACAACTAAGGGAAGGTCATGTGATTAATGGCACCTTTTCAGGGATGACACGACAAGAGGGGATGCGTTTTTTCAATTTCTTTCATGGAGCCAGGGCATGTATCGAATGGTACGTTTTGCAGGATTTTCGTTCCGCATCTCTGGCTATTGTGTTTCGCATCGAATGAATGATTGATTGATTGATTGGTTGATCGGTTGATTGATTGATTGATTGATTGATTGATTGATTGATTGATTGATTGATTGATTGATTGATTGGTTGATTGATTTATCGTTTGGTCGGTTAATCGGCCGATCGATTGATCCATTTAATGATTTATCGGTTGTTCCGATAATCGCTTCATCGATTGATTGATTGATTTATTGTTCGATTTATTCGTGGTTGAATTAAATGGCACAAGAAATGTGCATGGATAGACAAGAAGGTGCTTCTTTTGTTGTTGCATGACTGGATAACACAAAAAATCTGCATCGATAAATTAACGCAACAAAAGAACTCATAGATGACACGAAAGTGCATTCAAGGATGCGGATATGCAAAAACTCTCACAGCGAGTACGACACTTCCGTCTGCGAAAACATCGTCGCTCTTCAAAGGTTCGTGAAATGATTAAAAGTCACACCAAGTAAACGATAGTAAAAGTAAAACAAAAAATGTCTCAACGAACAATACCATAAAGTAAATAAATCAAAACAACCGCAGTGACCCTGCAGAACTGTTCCCAGCACACTACACTCCCGCCGGAAAACAACAACAACCGCCGCCTCCCGTACATCACCAGCCCCCCCCCCCCCCCGTCTCGGAGATCGATACCGTAGCTACCGCCGTCGAGGGAGTTTGCGCGTTCACGCGTGCTTCATGCGCTCCGCCAACGCTTCACACAACGCCAGCGCACGAGGCCGATTAAAGGTTTCCGCAATGGGGTGGGGTGGGTGATCCAACCCCAAATCCACGCGTCGACGCGCCCCATTAGCATCCACCTCCCACAACAAGTTATCGTCGAAGTCCATGCCAGCATCAAGGAGGATGTTGTGCAAAATGCACACGGCTTGGAACTGTTGTGGGAGAGTGTTCATATTCGTCTTGTGTGTGCGGAGGAACAGCCTCCACATCCCCTTCAATCTCCCGAAAGCTCTCTCCACTGCCCCTCTGGCGACCTTCTGCTTGTTGTCGAACCTCTCTTCGTCGACACATTGATCGGCCCCCCCGTAAGGCACGACGATCCACTCCAGAGGAGGATAGCCATTATCGCAGAGAATGTACCCATATGTCTTCACTCCGAACGGCAGCACCACAGCAGGTTCACGGAAAAGATCCCCCTCCTCCGCACGCGCCCACATACTGGAAAGTTGAAGCACGCGAATGTCATGGCATCTCCCTGGATAACCCACAAAAACGTTCGTGATGTGCAAGTCCAAGTCCACCACCACCTGCACAACAACGGAAAAACGACGCTTCCGATCGAAGTAGTTCTTAGATGGTGCGTTCGCCAGTTTGTCCACGTATCTGTGTGTGCAATCTATGCATCCATAGCAGTTGGGGAAACCCTTGGCCTCGAAGGCGCGCAGAACGAGCACTCGCCGCAACCCGGAAGGCCAGACGATGTTGTCACGGTACACCCTCAGAAGCGCCCTGGTGACGTCCTCGACTGCAATCAAGCCTGATGTGCGTCCTATGCCAAATGACAATGTGTTGCTCTCATACGTCTCCCCGCTTGCCCATCGATACAGCGCATATGCGCTGATGTGATCCGGCATCAATGGTACCCTGTAGAATATCACCCTCCGCTGCAGAAGAGGGGACAACGCCTCCACGATCTCCCGGACCACCCTAGGGGACATCCTCAACTTCTCCGTGTAGTAGTCGTCTGCCGCGTCGTCCATCTTCGGGAGATCCTCCCATGTGCCTCCCGTCCTCCTCCTCATCCTCCACCTCGGAGTCGCCCACGGGATCACATCGGATGCGATGGCGCAACAAAACTGGACAATGGATTCGGATACGGACTCATAGTCGGGTGCCTCCATCACTTGTCACAGGAGTTGACGCTGCCTGCGAATCGACAGTCTCATCTTGAGGCGCGTTGTCGTTCTCTCGATGTGATATCGCATGGCAACTGCCGAAACAACTGCAACCAACGCATTTCTCTCCGAAGTCGTCAAGGCGTTGCCACCGCGCTGCAGCTCTCCGACCATGACCAGGGCTACATACCCCCACCCTTTGGAGTAGTATCTATAGCCTGGAAGTGTGCCATACAGAATCCAATTGTCGGTCCATGGAAAAGTTTCTCCGGTACAGACGTCCCATAAGTTTGTCCACCACTGCTACAAAGTGTTCAACAGCGGTTACAGAACCCACAGCTGACTGTTAGATTCCCAACCCCAACTACATCTGTTACAAGTTTGGGGGAGGTCCATCCCTCTAACAGCCAGCCAGAGGGTCGTTGGTATTATCTGTAGGCCTTGAGCCCACAACAGGTTAGAATCCCGTTGTGACCGTAGCTTCTTCAGAGCTTTCCACAACGCGTTCCAATTGGGGTTCTCCACCGCTGAGTCTTTTACCTTCATATATCTCCTGTTTGCCACCATGGTTGGAGAATTTTCTTGTTTCGTTCTCAGTCTCAGGGCTTTTACTCCTGATATGGGAGAATAATGACAGATTGGGACCGGCGTATCAGTTTCTCTTTCCCCCTGTCGCCACCTTAACAGGCTAAGAGCAACGGTTCCACCCTGAAGGTATCAGCGCTCCCTAGTCCAAGCATCTGCTTCTGCAGTTGCATCACTCGGACTTCATGGAGGTCAGTTGTTGAGTGCACCACTCTGTCTTGCAGCTTTACTAGTTGTGTTCCCTTTTTGACAGCAGCCCCCTCTCTCCACTCCTCCACCTTCCATCCTCCCCTTAGGTCTGGCCCTACCATTTTCCAAATTTGAGGCTCCTCCTCGTTTGAACGCATCAACGTGCCCACTTTGTGTTCTGAGAACCTTCTGAGAGTGGCTGCCCACTGGCTTGAGATAGTTGCTATTAACTTTATTATGTCCTCCGTCACAGACCACATTCTTGGAAGCTTTTGTTTCAGCTGCTTGTCCGACACCTAATCATTTGTCTTCTCATCCCATAGGTGCTGGATGAGGAAGATTCTTTTTTCGACCCATGCCCTCCCGAAGTTACCCGTTTCATCTGTCGCGGCAAAACTGCCTACCTCTGGTGCTAGGATCAACGGGTTGTCAAATAAACATTGTGCTACAATCTTTTTATTTGTGTCTGGCAAGTGGAGCACTTCTAGGAATACTTTTTTTCAGGCTCGCAATATCCCTCTCCACAATTTGGACTTCATTCTTCTGTCTAAATACGATGGGATGAGGATCATGAGGATGCATTACCACACATCTTCCGGGGAAGACATCACCCATTCCTTGCTTAGTACATACTCCACGAGGCGAACCTACAACTTCGTGGGGTCTTCGAATAGGGATTTGACCACCCATTTGGCTAGCATTGCTAGATTTTGCAACTGTGGATCCAGGAGTCTCAATCCGTCTTCATTACGGGGAAAACACATTGTGTCCCAAGCAACTTTCGTGATGTACCCCTCCTCCTCATCCGCTCCTGGTTTCCACAGGTATCTCGTCGTTGTTGTTCTTATAGCTGAATAGGCCTTTTGGCCCAGTAAGCATATGGATAAGGGGAACCACAATATCGAAAAGGCTGCTCCAGACAATACTAGGGCTCTGCCAAATGTAGAGAGCTTGTAATGTTTGACCCATCCTTGGATCCTTGCTTTGACTTTGTCTGTCAATAGTTGATCTTGAGTCTTTGAACAGTCCGTGAGGGACACCTGAATTCCCAGAAACCTCTCTGAGTTTTCTGTTGGGACCTCTCTCAGCCCCCAGGTAACCTTGAGTACAAATTGTGGTGGTAGGAAGTATGCTGATTTACTCCAATTAATGGAAGCCTCAAACAGTGGACAATATTCATCTATAACTATTTTTAGTTCTTTTAAGGATGAGGTAGGGTTTTCACAGACAACCGTTAGATCATCTGCAAGTGCTCCCCCCTTCCATTCGAGGGTAGGACTCAGTCTAAGGCCCACTATTTCTAGATTATATCTGATATTATCTAAGAGTTCACTCCATTGCTGTTGCGGTTTTGCACGTGGCATATGGCATGGGAGGCATTGGCTATGTCAACGTCTGTGGAGTACAGTGGAGTCAGCCCTTGGTAAAATGAAGTGTGAGTGCAGTGGCGACTGCAATCATGAGGAAGAGGGTGGGTCAACATAATCAGGGCGTTGCTCGGCATCAGCAACGGGCGTTGATCATCACCAGCATCATCATCAGCAGGGCGCAGTTTGACACCATCATCACAGTCAGGGTTTGTCATCATCATCAGGGTGCTGCTCGTCGTCATCATCATCACCATCATCATCAACAGGGCGTCGTTCGACATCATCATCACGGTAATGGTTCGTCATCAGCATCAGGTGTCATCACTATCATCATTATCAGGGTGCCGCTCGTCATCAACATCAAGGCATGGGTGGCTTCATTATCCACGCTGCTTATCATGATGATCATCATCATCATTGTGTCTTCATAGGGCGCCGCTGGGGTTGCTCGTTATCATCATCATCATTATTATTATGCCAGTGTCATTACCATCATCAATAGTTCACCATCATAAGGCGCTGTTGGCGAAGCTCGTCGTCATAGGGCGCCGCTCACCATCATTATCACTAGGCTACCATCCAAGGTGCTCGTCATTAGCACCATCATCATCCTTTTGTCATCACGGGGCGCGGTGCGTCATCATCATCATCATCATCATCATCATCATCATCATCGACATCATCATCATCATCATCATCATCATCATCATCATCAACATCATCATCAGCATCATCAGCATCATCACCATCATCAATTTGTAATCATAGGGCGTTGTTGGTACTGTCCTTCAGTATGATCAGCAACATCATTCTGTCGTCATTTTCATCATTACTATCATCATCATCATTTTGTTATTATTAGATGCTGCTTTTCAAGGCCTTGTTTGCCTTTCACATCAGCAGGTGAGTTGGTTGTCATCATCATCTTCAGGATGATGTTCATCGTCAGCAGCAAATCCAAAAAAAGAAAACTCTCATCTACCTTTCTTCATCATAATTCTCAGAAATTTCTTATTATTTCACTCATATCTTAGGAATTTGAGTTCCTAAAACTCTTGAGGCTCGTTTTTTTTTTTCTCCGCTATTAATTTCTGGTCCCCCTTCGGGCGCATTAATGAATTATTTTTGTGTAAGTGGGGGGTTGGGGTTTTAAGGAGGAGAGCTCTACTCCGCAGGGGCTTCACAAGGTGGGGGGTGAAATGCCCTGGAGGGAGTGGGGGCAGATTTTTGGGGGTTGCCCTATTCTGGGGCTGGGAGAGATGTATGGGCTGGCATCATATCCCAATGGAGGCAGATAGGGGTGAGGGGGTGGCTGAGGCATACTTTGGGTGAACTGGATGCCTTAGTGGAAGTAGGGGGAGGAAGCAGGTATATCCAAGTTGGGGCCAATAAGGAGAGCTTGTGATCAGGGCAGTCCTTTTCGGTGGAGGCAGCGAAGGGATAGGGGGAGATGTAGGGGAGGGGGGGAAATAATCTACAACAACGTTTGGAATTCTGGTTCTCCTCTTTAGTGTAAACAAATTACTTCTGGTGAGGGGTTAGGTTGGGGGGGAGATCTACTCTGCAGGGGCTTCACAAGAAGGGAGGTGATTGCCCTGAAGAGAGACGGGGCAGGTTTTGGGGGATGCTCTATTCTGGGGTTTTGGGGGGAGATGTATGGATCGGCATCATATCCCAGCGGAGGCAGATAAGGGCAAGGGGTTGGCAGAGGCATACTTGCGTGGGAACTGGACGCCTTTGTGGGAGTAGGGGGGAAATGGGTCTGTCCCAAGTTGGGGCCAATGAGGAGTGCTCGTAATCAGGGGCGGTCCTTTTCGGTGAAGACATCGGTGGGGCAGGGGGATGAGGGGAAAGGGGGGAATTTCTATATCCTTTGCTCGAATTTGGTTGGGACTTTTTCTGATTCTTCCAGGAATATTCAAAACAAACATCCTTGTTATTTCCTGGTAGTTTGAAGAATCTCTCAGGACTTTGAGGGACTCTTGGTGGTTTATACGAAGCTGCACTGGAATTAGACTGTTATATTCAAGATTCGTGGCTGTTCCATGCCAGAACGACGCTGGCCGGAGCCGGGGTGATGCCCTGTAACTGGCCGAAGGTGAGGGCAGGAGGCCTTGTAGAGAGACTCGGGGATGCTATGCGGGGGCATCCTAAGGGACAGTTGGGGGTTGCTGACCCAGGACGACACTGGTCGGAGCTGGGGTGGGTCGCGTTGCCCTGTAACTTAGCGGATAGGGGGCGTGAGGCCTGGATAAGTTTGTCAGAGCTTTGTTATGATCTGCTGAAATTTCCTTAGATACTTGAGTGTTCAGAGAATTGCGGGTGGATTTCAGGAGGTGTTTGGCGATCGTAAAAAAAGATTCATAGTTTTTCTCATCATCTATATTCGTGGTTTTCTCATCATCTATCCCGATTTTCAGCAGTTTGTTTATGATCTTGGAGGATACTCTCAAGCCGAAACCGGGTAATGGCCCCAATACTTCAATTTGTTCATAAATCTTTTCTACATGTCTTCATATGGGACGCTGGGCCCGATTCCCAGCACGTGCTGCTCCCTACGAATAGATTGGAGCATGTCTTCTAAAAAATAAATAAATAAATAAATAAAACTTCAAGTTGGAGAACAAATAGTAGTGGCGCCAATGGGCAACCTTGTCGCAAGGATCTGGTCAGGGGGAATTCCTCTGAGAGATTGTCATTTATCATTACCATCGAGGTGCCATTTGCGTACATAGCATCAATTAGGGAACCCGCTGTCAAATCCTATTTTAGTCAGTGTAGCAGTAACAAAGGTCTAACCCACTTTATCGTAGGTCTTCTCCATGTCCAACAACAGGACTGCGACGTCTCTTTTTTCGCACCGGTTACCTCTAAGGCTTGAACAACGGTCATAATGTTCTCAAAGATAGTTCTCC